GTATAGAAAAGTGGCATTGCTGGCCACATTCATGTAATGTTTTTGTGAATACCTCAACAATGCTACCGAAATATTGTGGTTTTTGATGTTTAAATGTGGTTTTAGCCTGCTACTTTGGTTATTTCTGGCTCCGCATACACTCGAATAGACAACAATGGCATTGCTCAACGAAATGAAACAGTATTGCAGGGAACATTTACTTTAATACGATATATTTGTGAATGACATATATGTGAATAATTAGGCTTGTTGAAATTGGGAAACTAATCATAGTGAACATACCTTCACAGTTTCTGGGTTGTAATATTATCATTTATATTTATCTCAAATAATGTTATTCATATGTATCAGTATTGGTACGTAGATGAACGTTAATGCAGGAAATGCGGAAATTTGTACAATATGGATACGAAAAGTACTGAAAGATAATGCAGGAAACGATTGAAGCTGGGATCCTGAAATTTTATGTAAGGGTCAGTATTGGCTGGTACATAGATGTGTGATAAGGCTGGAATTTTCGGGAATTCCTACGGGTACGCAAAAAGCTAAAATAAACAAACATGATCAATGTCCATAAGAAACGGCTGAAGCTAGTATTTTGAAATTTTGTATGTGGGTAATCATAGGTTCGATACCATAAGTGCAAATACCATGTGTGCATGGTACCGAAACGTACTAAAAATGGTAGCACTGATATAGAGTGAACGTATGTGTCTAAAACTTTGAAATTTTGATTGTGATTTCTTAATGCAGCGCAGAGTAGAAGTACCAAATGACTGAAGCTCGTACTAAAAATGAGCTGAATGTACTAAAATGTAAACCTCGGATCTTGCAATTTTATATGCTGAATACTGTTTGTTCACGATTGTTGAGACGGATTTTCATATTTTCTATGCATATTGTACGAAATGTTTAAAATTCGTGCTATAAATGTACAAATAGTAGTACTAAACTGTGCACAAATTAAAAAAAATAGTTGGTATTGAGTAATATTGTAAAGGTACTAAAATTAGTGCTTTTACTAATCAATGAATCAATATTTTCTGAAATTTTAAAATTTGATGGAAAATCGCTATTATTATGTAGAAATATTTTAGAAAGTAGATTATGGAAATATTTCATATCTCGGCCCGAGATTATATTGTACTAAATTTAGTACAATTTATAGAAATTTGTACAAACAGTTAAATAATGTTCTGAATTAACATTGTATTCAATATTTACTTATTTTAGTACATTATTTAACTTTAGTACAAATATTGTACAAATAAAATTGCGAAAAATCGGTTCAGATTTAGATTTCGTCCGATTTAATGTAATGTCCTTATATATCTTTCGATTTGCACTAAATTTGGCATAGCGTACTGAATTAAGTCTAGAACAATGTGTTTCCTGAAAATCGGTTCAGATTTTCAGAATGACATATATACCGATTAATGTTAGTCGGTTCGCATATAGATAAATATCATATTTAAGTTCGTTCAATTTCATGTCCATGTTTCTTCGAAAAGGTGACGTCTGTGAGGTTACATATGTTGAATATACCCAAAAGGGTGAAGGGTGTCATATAGTCGGCTCAGCCCAACTTTTTTTTTCATGAATAGATATTTAAAAAATTATTTTTATACCCTTCACCACACTGTGGTGAAGTCTTTGTGCATATGTTTGTAACAGGCAAAAGGAAACGAGATAGACACATGGTTCCTTTTGAGAATATGTATAGAATCACTTTCTGAGTCGATTTATGCATGGCCGTCTGTCTGTCCATGTTAAATTGTAAACAAAGTACAGGTCGCATTTGTTATTCAAATTGGATGAAATTTGGTGATGCGTGCTAAGTTTCGTGAAAATCGGTTCAGATTTAGATATAGCTCCCATATATATTTTCGTCCGATTTAAGGTAAATCGTCCACCACAGTCCCTAAATATCTTTCGATTTGCACGAAATTTGGCACAGCGTACTGAATGAAGCCTAGAATTATGTGTACTGAGTTTCCTAAAAATCGGTTCAGATTTAGATATAGCTCCCATATATATTCTCATCCGAGTTAATATAAATGGTGCACCAAAGACCCTATATATGTTTCGATTTGCACGAAATTTGACATAGCGTACTGAAATAACTCTAAAATTATGTGTTTAAACTGTCGTGAAAATCGGTTCAGGTTTAGATATAGTTCCATGTATACTTTCGTCCGATTTAAGCCAAATGGTGCACCAGAGTCCCTATAATACTTTCGATTTGCACGACATAGTGCACAGTGTGCTGAATTAAGAGTAAAATGATGAGTGTTAAGTTTCGAGAAAATCGGTTCCGATTTAGCTATAGCTCCCATATATAATTTCGCACAATTTAATACAAAGGCGCACCAAAGACCTTATATATTCTTCTATTTTAACGAAATTTGGCAAACTGAAATTAGTCTACAATGATGTGTGCTATGTTTCGAGAATATTGGTTCAGGTTTAGGTATAACCCTATATATATTTCGTCCGATTTAATGTAAATGGTGCACAAAAGTACGAATATATTTTTCGATTAGCACGAAATTTGGCATAGCGTACTGAATTGAGTCCAAAATAATGTGGGCTAAGTTTGGTGAACATCCGTTCAGATATAGATATTACTCCCATATATATTTTCGTCCGATTTTACATAAATGGTGCACCAAACTCCTATTAACACGAAATTTTGCACTACGTATCAATTTGAGACTTGAATGACGTTATTGGGATTTGTTAAAATTGATGAAGATGCAGCCATATCTTCCATCTGTATTTCGAACCGGTGTCTGATTGAAATGAAATGTTTAACAGTGAGACGTACCGAATAGCGTGTATCAATTTTGCTATAAATCATTTTTCATAAATTTGTCCAATGGTAAACAAACGACTCTAAATCTGCCCGCATGAAATTAAATTTGTCATAGTTTGCAGAAAGACATGCGTATGTTCCTTCGAGGTAACATTGACATACAATTGTAAGGATACATATGTACAATATACCCAAGTGGTGAAGGGTATCATATAGTCGACCCAGTCCGACTTTACTACTTTCCTTACTGGTTTATATATGTGTTATGTATAACTCAGATCGATTCTGATAAAGTACTATATCGAATTATTCAGATTCATGTGGAGTTACTAATATGGATACGTAGTAGTGGGCAAAAGTCAGCTTTTAGACTTTTTCGATTTTGGTAGACTTTTGTCAATCCTCTTCAAAATCGATTTTCGACTTTTACCGACAAATGCTTATTCATAGTTTCTAAACTCATTTTAAATGTCTGTACATATGTACTTATAAAAATGTATGTATTCTTCTCCGGCCATTGTTGTCGATCGTATAGGATATATTAAAATCTCAAGAAGTCATTTAAATATAAATTTATTTTCATTTGTAAACCCAGTTTGTGTGTGCCTGAGTTCTTTTAATAATCCACTATTGTGTCGCAAAATAATATTCCATTTCCATGCCACCTACATTTACCAGAACAGCAACAATAGTAACCACAAATCAAGTATTATTTTTCTGGCATGACTGACTTCCATTGGCTTGAAACGGAACTTTTTTTGCTTCAATGATTTATTGTGTATTTTTTGTGGGGATTGGCTGGCATCTTGGTGTTAGGGGTGTAGGAAGGGGTCACACAATTTCAATAAAATTCGTTATAGATTTTGTATTCTTTCATTTCGGATTTTGGGGAGGATGGCAACTTACAATAAATTTGTAGCTGTTACTAAAGTAAGTGGTCTCTTTTTTCGGTACATTGAAAAATGACAATTAGGAGAAGGTGGTTTTGTGTTTTTCGTTCAAACTTAAAATAAGTTTTATGGTTGTCAATGGAAATAAATATTTTTTTAGTAAGAATACAAATTAAAAGTTACTTTTCTGAGGAATTATGTTTTCGGAGAAAACGTTTTGGTACGCCCTTTAGAAACTTAAATAACAACTTCCGTATGTTAAGAAATGCGTATAAAAACCGACAAAAACTTTGTGGGAATAAAGGAACTGTCAATGTCCTGAGGGTTAACATATTTCAGGTTATATTGGTCTAAGTGGCAGTAGGAAGGTTTTTAATACAAAAGAAGCCAATAACAACTGATATTGAAAAATGTTAGAGGGAAATGTATGTGGAATAATTATTATCGTATGTTATTTGTGACGGAGGTAACAGAATGATGGTGCAGGGTCTAACGTGATGAAAGTTTTATTGAAATCTGTTTAGATTTAGATATAGCTCCCATATATATAGCTGTCCGATTTTAAGTTATTAATGCACCAAAGACCTAATATTAGGTCGATTGTCACAAAAGTTTGCACTACGTACTGAAGTTAGTGCGCAAGTTTTGTTGGAATCAGTTCAGATTTAGATATAGCTCCTATATTTCCTCCGATATTATGTAAATTATGCTCCAAGAACCCAAAATGGTCAATGTGCACAAAACGTGCTGAAATTAGTATAAACTAACTTGTGACAAGTTGCGTTGAAATCGGTTTAGATTTTAATTAAACGGTGCTCCAAACTCAGATTGACGCTAAATTTTGCACACCGTACAAATTTGAGTATAGCATGACGTAATTACTTTTTGTAGAAATGCAGACATAGCCCATATATTCGACCGATTTCATGTTTATTGGGTTTCAAATAATCAACGAGAGTCCGATTGATATTTGCTTTAAATCGTTCTATGTCGGTTTACGTTTAAATATAGATCAAATATTTTAGTTCATCTAATTTCATGTCAATGGTCTTTCCAAAATGAGACGTGTGTTAGAAAGCATCTGTCTAATGTACTTTACTACTTTCGTTAATGGTTAAGAATTACGATGCGGCAGTAATACGATATTCCGGTGTTATATGTGTATGGCCACAGCTTTATAAATATATGTTAAAAAAAATATAACACCAAACTATTTACTTTTCTTTAACTTAATATGAACAAAACAATTATTGATATTGTCCCTTATATTTATTTATTGTCCCTTATATTTACAGTGCAGTGGCATTCACGAACGCAGTAAATGTGTTGAACTATGGAGTGGTGTTGCTCAATATTGTCTCTTGGTGGGAAATTATAATAGTGCCACAGCTATATTGGAAACACTGGAATCACCGCCAATAGCACGTCTAAAAATAACGGTAAGTAGGGCATAATTTCTAATCAAATAACACGCTAAGACGTGGTACACCTAAATATACCCGACCATCACCACCACAAAATCCTTATCAAATCTGAAGATTTAACTGGCGAAACAATATGAAAATCGTCCAACTTAAATCAGACACGTACGACGTATTCTTTTTTTTCCGATTTTGCATATTTAGTTTGGCTTTTGTTGTTCCCGCAGTGAGCAAATAGTAACCGTAACAACACGCCACTATTTGGCCAAGTCAGACTGAATGCATTAATTATGCATACAACACTACCAACAACAAGAACAGCTAGCCGAATGGAATGTTTCATCGTTATAAATTGCTAGTAATTTTATGGCGAAACAACGTGAACGAAATTGGCGAATTGTAAAATGCCAAGGATGTAAATTGGATTGGTGGCTCTCTACAGCGAAGGATATAAATGAATGAATGCACTGCTGCTGGATTGGTTATATAAAACTGTTTTTGTTTTTTGATATAATTAGCAAATCGAACGAATAATGATCAGAGCACGTGATAAGGTAGTTATTTGTAATTAGAATCTCGATAAAATAGTGGGTGGGTGGCGTAGGGGATGATAGATACCAAGCAACGACTCTGATTGACTTGGAAAATTCAGCCTTCATGAAGAAACATCCGACAACGGCATGAGGTTGATTGACTTCGCGGCAGCAAAAATCATGGTAGTTAGCAGCACCAGATTAAAGCATCTCGATATACACAAGGCCACCTGGATCTCTCCTGATCAAGCAACGAGAAATCAAATTGATCATGTTGTGATATACGGAAGACATTCATCCAGTGTTTTTGACGTCCGATCGATCCGAGGAACGAATATCGATTCGGACCATTACCTTGTGGCAGCCAAGGTACGCACCCGTCTTAATGTAGCGGCAAAGGAGCGATCTAACACAAAACGGAAACTCGACGTGGAAAAGCTGCAAACACAACATGTAGCCGAGGCCTACTCCGCTCAACTTACCCACCTGCTTGAAGAAAGCACTTCTTGTCCCCATAATAGTATAGAAGCACAATGACAAAGAATAGCCCACTCCCTACAAACTGCAGCAAAAGCAACACTTGGGTACCAAAAATGCTACTGATGTGAAAAACGCAGCGTATAGGGCAACCCTGCAGACAGTAGCAACACGTACCGTGATGGAGAATTATCGGGAGAAAAGAGAACAAGAAAAACGTGAGTGTGAGCAAATCGAGATGTACAGGAGTCAGAATGACGTCCGTAAATTTTACCAACGAGTAAAACACCAAACTGAAGGCTTTGGTGCAGGCAAATTCTCTACTAAATGGAAGGGATTCTGTTATATTACTACCACGAAGATATTTACAGATATAAGGTAAATCGAATTAGTTCACTTCTGGGGAAATAAATTACGTGACGTAGATTTAAATTTCATCGGCATGCTTTTTTGTCATATATTTTAATTTGACAGATTAAAAACAATAATTTCTATCACACATATGTGTAGAGGTATTATGTCTGTTCAAATGCTAAGCCAGTTTGTATTCCTCCATGGATCCTTTCTAAAATTCCATTAGAAGATGATTCCTGTCACAAGTTTCAATAATTTCCTGTCCACCATTTATTGCCAGGATGAAAATAGTATGAATATTTTTCGTGATGAACTTTTAGTAGCGATTGTTACCTATATGTTGTCAGGGATCGTTTTAAGGACTACATTTTTTAAGACTACATTTTGAAGCGTCTGAATTTTTAAGAGATTTCAGTGCAACTATATTTTTGGGGATTAGAACAAGTAAGGAAAGTTCAAAAGTTGGATGGGGTAGACTATATGATACTCTTGACCACTTTGAACATATATAAGAGATGACCTTAAGATCCTTTTTTGTACAATAATAAAATAAATATAAACGTAACACATTTGGGGGACCACTGACATGAAATCGGACAAATTTAATGTGTGCTCTATAAAGACTTATGAAACTATTAAAATTAAATCTGAAATCTCCAAATTCCAAATTCTCTGTCAATTGAGTAGAATTAGAGTCTTTGGTGTACCATTTGTAAGGAAAGTAGTAAAGTCGTACTGGGCCGACTGTATGATACCCTTCACCACTTTGGGTATATTGTACATATGTATCCTTACAATTGCATGTCAATATACCCTCTATGCACTCATGTCTCAAGTCTTTCACCAACCTATGCTAAATTTAATTTCATTGGGCACGTTGTTTTGCCATAAAATTATTACCAATTTATAACGATGAAATGTCCCATTCGGCTTGTTGTTCTTGTTGTTGCTAGTTTTGTATGCATAATTAATGCATTCAGTCTGACTTGGCCAAATACATTCCAGAGATCATTAAGAGGTCATTGACACCAAGTATTTTTTAATGGTTTAGAGATCTGGACATATCCATGGGTGATATTTCAACTCCCACATTGAGGCAGAAACAGTAAATTTGCACCGGTTGGACCGCCACCCTTCGTTGTAACTGGAAACTTAGCATACGTGCAATGCAGGAGTTTTTGTTGCCTGTACAACATCTGCTGTACCCATATGCCATTCCGCCGTTACGGTATACGTTTATAAAACTTCTTGTGTGGCGAATGTTAACTTCCATTTTAAATGTTACATTATTGAGACCATTTCCCTTTGAGACATATTGCTATATCGCTCATTTGCTACAAAACCGACATAAATAAACAATCGATTTTGCAGAAAATGCGTTTTCAATAACAACACAGAAATTACATAGAACAGAGGAAATTCTATAGTTTCTCAATCAGAGTGTGTTGGAGATATTCATATGAATTTTTACCTAACATGAAGGCCCATATAGCGAATAATTGTGCATCATTAACTCAAAACTCTCGATTTTGATTTATGTCGGTCTTGCAGCTAATGAGCGATATCTCTTTCTATGAACCTTCTGCTTGCCACTTTTATTCATCTCTCTCTTCTATTTTTCACCTCATATTTAATTTTCTCTTAATACTTCACGGTATCATTTCCATCATATCTTTTCGTTAATCCTTTTGTCATGACCACACATTCGTCG